GGAAGAAGTAGTTTGAGCGTGGGTCTTTTTGTTGCTTCTCCTATTATTAGAGCCTTATCCATTGTAGCAGTTTTCTCTTCCTTTCTTTGTTGGTCAACCTCAGGTTCAGGTCCGCCAGGGAGTAGTCTGTGTAATGGTCAAGTATGTTTTGGAATATGTCATCCTCGATACCACTCACAAAAGGTTTCTCTGTAGGAACTCAGTTAGGGCCACCCCACAACCCTCAATCTCAACAACCAATGTCTCAAACTTTGACTCATACCAGGATTAGCCTCCCCTGGTTTGCTTGTTGAGCTTGAGATGTTGGAGGGTCTCAATCCTGTTGGAGGCATTCAATTCCTTGTCAACTCCATGCTCATAGACCTCCACCAATTTCTTCAAGGCTAGGCAGCCATCCAGGGTATTCAAGTAGGCATGAACCTTGGGGAAGGCAGTCCCACCCTCTGTTTTCAGAACTAGGATGGAGAAGAACTCTTGAACTTCAGCATAATAGGCAGGATCCTTCTTCCTTCTCTGTTCAGGTGCTCCTTGATATCCTTGTCATCCTTGATGCCGTAAGGAGATGCCCCTTTCGATCAGGGAGCAGATACTTGGGCAGAAAGGTGGAAGGACTTCCAGTGGTTTTGTTTCCCATCAAAAGCCTTGAAGTCAGACATGCTGGCCTTCACCATTGGTTTGGTGGTGAGTGCAGAGCTGGAGAAGGAGGCTAGATGGAGTCTAGGGTCCCATCCTCAGTGATGGAGGGGGGACCAGTCTTCTTGGTCTTGGGCTTGGGCTTGGGGCTTCATCTTTCTTCAGGTTCAGGATCTTCAGGGTCATCATCACTGCTTGAGTCTTCTGGTCACTGTCCCCACCATCTCCAGCACCCCCTTTTTGTCAAGCTTGAACTTGACCACCTTGGGCTTAGACCCCTTAGAGTCCTCAGTTCCAAGGTTGGATTCATCTCAGTCCACCAGATTCAGTCTTCTTTGTGGATCCTTTGGATGGGGGTGTGTTGTAGCCATCTTCAGATTTTCCTCTAGTTCTTTCTCGGCTCTGGCCTTGCTATCCTGCAACTTCAAGAGCTCATACTCAGCTAGGGCTGCTTTCTTGGCTTCTCGGCCAAGTCAACCTCCTCAATCACTTGTCCTCGTAGTGTTCCTCGATTTGGTCAGGTCCAAAATTCTCCTTCCAGTCTCCCAATTCGATATCCATCTTGCAGGTCTTCCAGTGGTGGATCGGTACTTCCAAGTGTTGAGGGCTTGGGTTAGGGCATCCAGCTGTTCGAGCTGTACCCAAGTGATCTGCTGGGTACCCTTCTTCCTTCCACTCCTCCGCGGCCTCCTTGCTGAAGTTGCGGATCAACTTGGTAGGGGTAGTGATACTCATACCCCAAATGAACAGTAGTAGTTCAAGGGAGCACTCCCCGCATTCCATTACGAGGTACTCCATGATTTCGAAGCTCTTCCTTTCCCTGGGGGTCATTTCCGCGATGAAGCCGGCCAAAGCTTCATCCCTTGCTAGGTCCAGGCTGGCCTTGGAAGGGCTGTCTTCATCTTCAGATGCCATCTTGTCAGTTACTCAGAACAACACGAACTTTTAATCTGGCAAAGTCTTGAGGTCAACTCAAGACGGGTTTCAAGGTAGTTTGGGTGCAAATAGCAGGTGCTATCAGGTGCAATAGGTACAATCCTTTGTCCTGGTCAACAGGTACACTTATTTGTTATGCTAAACTAAGAATTGTGAGCACACAGGGCTCCTAAAGTCAAATACAGTGGCACATTTCGAATGGCCGCGAAATGGGACTTCCTACAGGCCGTAAACGGGACTTCCAGCCACTCTTTGCATATAAACCTTCATCCAAGACTTCACCTGACCACCAAACATTGATATATAGGGACATTCATAGTCCAGGACTTCATAATGTCATCAAACATATAGTAATCATGCTTGTCCCAAGACCTCATAGTATCTTCCATCATCTAGGAGTCTTGCCCAAAGATACTTATGAGTCATGCCCAAAGATACTTATGAGTCATGCCTAAAGACTTAGAGCACAGGCCAACCATACAATATCCCAGAGTGAAACACTTCCAGGCAGCACACTTGTTCCAGGGACAGACAAGCTGAGAAACCAGCACTACTGTGTAAACACACCAAAGACAGACACAGTGGGAAGCCAGCAGTAATGTTTTCACATCATGTGGCTCCAATCCAACTCCTGTCATTCCATTGCGTCTGGTGCCTCTTCTTCAGGTATCGTCGCCAATCTGGCAAATCCTGGTTTCGAGCAATTAAGCTTTCGAGGACACGACAAGACAGGAGGTGAGTTGATGGGCGCTACGACAGTTGACATGTTAAGTGGTGCAAGAGGTGACTCACGGGTGCTGTTCTCGCTGGAGTCGTCATCAGAATCGGAGGGCGTAATTGACCGTCGCGACGTGCGACTAGTTGCTCGTGCCGTGCCCGACTCATTGTTGTTGCGTGTTCGGTTGCGTCTGTTGGCCTTGGCTTCTTTGTAGGCAGCTCCATCGAATTCAATATTGTACCCAGGGATGCAATGCTCACAGTTGGACATGTGGTGTCTGTTGGGATTCTTATTGTGGGCAATTGCACACCACGGGCACGCATAGTGGTAGAGAACATTCTGGGCTTGTTCCTTGGTGACGTTGATGTCTTCGAATGGGCGAAGAGCATCAACCAGTGCCATGGGGTCAGTGACGTCAAGGGAAGTTTGAAAAGCTACCCCCCTTGGTTCGCCAGGAGAACCATCACAAACAGATCCAGTCTTCTGGCCCTTGCCACGAAGGGAGTAGGCGCGAATAGGTGCTTCACCGCTGAGTAATTTGCTGTCCGAATAGTACTTGTTGTTCTCAGCTCCGGTGAGGATGTTGTCGAAGTATTCGGCGAGTTGATCCAGTGTGCATTGGAGTGTAGGCGTTCCATTGAGTTTGCCACCGGGACGAATCAATCGCGCATAACATTTGCTGAGGACCGTACGGTATGGACCATGACGGACTGTTCCAGCGACAAACCAACCACGTAATGTTGACTCAGAGAGGGGATTGCCGCTGGCAGCTCCATATTGGCGGTTGAAGAACCGGAGACGGAGCAGAAAAGATGCACAGAATTCACGTTGTTCTTGGACCACAGTGCTGACATCGGCAAAACGGTCGTCCACGCGGTCGCTTGTGATGGGAAGAAAGGTATCAAGCACGGCCTGAAGGAGTTCTGGACCACGGCGTTTGAGTGTAGGCTCTCGTTGCAGGAGGTCTGTGATGGTGCGACTCTGTTTCGTGGCTTTCACCAACAACCGTGCCATGACCTTGGAGATATCCTTGTTGCTATCAGTCGTCAAAGAATATTCCCAAATTTCCTGGTCATCGGCTTCCCAATGATCGCCAGTCAGTGCGTTCTCAACTCCACATTTCCATTGGTATAGAGCAGTGGAGGTAGGCGCTGCTGGGAGCTGGGGAAGATCGGTTGATGCCCGTAGCTGATCGTCATGAGTGAAGCGATTACCTTGTACAATGGCTCCGAGAGCATCCTTTAGGTGGTGTTGCGATTCGATGTGACTCATCCACAGACTGTCCAGGCTACTGACTGATCCGTTGTCACGTGATCTGGAGAAGGTGCCGACGCTTCGGTTGATAGAGGATGCTGGCACTGAAACTCTCTGGCCGTCTGCTGTCGTGACTTCGATCATGGGATCGGCTCTCTGACGTGATCCGCTTCGGAGTGGAGTTCCGGTTGGATTCGTTGCTGGTTCCCTAGGCGCTGATGGCGCTGAAGGTGCTGTACGTTGGCTCAGAGGTGTTGGTACCGGTACATCCACTCCGGGTGAGGCGTTTGACCTAGCCGCGGACGAGTGTCCAAAGTGAGTAGCACATGCGAAGTGAGGGTCTTCAGTCCCAAGCAATGCCGCATCGATGACCCATTTTGGAGGAATCCTGTTTCTTGCATCGACTGGACGTATCTCCTGTATTTTGCGGAGATAGTCAATTGCTCCTGGCAGTTCGCGGAATCCAACTGGGGAGTCGCTAACGCCGTTGTTGAGGACATCTGCCTGCATCGCCCAACCTTCAGCGAAGGATTGGACTATGCGCTGGCATTGCAGTCCATCGAACCATCCGTCCACAACGTAATATGTCTTGCCTGATGTGGCCATGCTTCGATCCTGTCGCTCAAAGTGTCCACGGAGATATGGATGCCAGCGAGAGGTGAGTTGCCAGGTCTTGTGTCCGTCAAGACTGTCGTGTCCGAGGATTCGAAGTGGGAACACTTGGTAGATGTGTCCGGTGGTTTCATGACGAATGAGCAGTTTCTTGCCTTTAAGTTTTGTGAGATAATTATCGTGGTTGCAATCAACGGGGTTTGTAGTTCTGTTTACCCCCCCATAAAGCTCGTGATTGTCCACAATGGTCGTGAGAAACTGGCTGCTATATCCACATGGTGGGATCCCATGGATGGCCACAACGGGGCCTCCATCATTACGGAAGGCAGAGACTGGAATGATGGGGATGTCATCGAACCCATCGCCGAATCGGATATGGTTGGATCGGTGAGATGGGTGGGTGGCTTTGCTAGTACCACGTGAATGGAAGATAGATGGTCCAGCACCGGATCCTTCAATGCCTGTCTGGAAGGAGTCGCTAAGGGACGAATTAGCGGACGGGTGGCTGTTCCAACTCGCAACAAGCGGTGTGGATGATCCGTGGTGGGAAATGACAGACGCATTGTTAGTATCGAGAGCTGCCATGACGTCATGAACCTGGGCTCGAATAGCCGAAGGTATTCCCGAGCTGAGGTGTGATCCGGGTGTAGGTGGTTGAAATCCGGGAAGTAAAGAAGGACTAGCTTGTCGGAAGATTGGTGATTGGGTGACGCGACGAGGGGGAGTGACTTGTTGTAGTGGATCGGAAGTGAATGATTGTCGTCCATCCTGTTCAGTTGTCACCGAATCGTCGCTGCTGCTGTGGTAGGGTTCTCTTCCAACCAATGATGGCATGTGTCCATTTGCTGACGAGCTCTCATCCGATGCATCTTCAACGATGATTGGTGAGGGTTCTCGCCGCCTAGGTGGAAGGGGTGGGAGTTGAGGAAGCTGGTGTTGAGTATCGGCAGGTGCCGATGAAGTTGAGGGTCGTCGAGAGCGACTAGCCCATGTCTGAACACTCTTGGCGGCCGAGCCAAAGAGATTCATCATGGTCGCCACAGTCGGTGTCGATACCAATGCTGTGGTGACTAGTTCGTCTCTACCTCGCTAAATTGGGCTAATCATAACCTGTTGGAATGTAGAAATCTTTATTATGATTAATTCTGCTTTGGTTGTCTTTTCTCAGTCATTCACTAGTCTTGTTTGGGACTGTCGGGCTTGCCATCCTCCAATGATCCGGTCCTGCTCCCAGGACTGGATTGGGGCTCACTCATGATTGTGAGTCACTAGTGTGATGTGTTCCATTTCCAACATTTACTACATATGTGGACCATCTTCAAAGCCCAGGGCGCCACTTGCTTGTGCACCGACTGCGAAGGTAAAGTACTAGCTAGTAGTGGGAGCGAACCACCAAGGGTGGGGGGCTTGTGTTGGTCATGTATGTCTCAAGGGTCGAGGGAGACTCGGGACGCACAGTTATCTGTGCCACTGAAGATTTTTGCCTCGCAACTTGCCGCGTCGCCCCGTGCCCCACCGTCGTCCGTCCGTATTCTACTATTACCGTCACTAGCTAGTACATGTACTGGTACCGATACTGGTTATAGCGCTACCTGCAAACCAGTCGCCGGTACCGCCTGTACGTTCCAGAGCCTATCTACTAGTAGGAGGTCATGCAACCAGCTTCCATTACATGGCATAACTCTCAGCCCCATCCCCTGCCTCCTTCTACATGTACCTTCTAGCTACCGCTAGCTGTATTTAGATAGTCGCTACAGTATCCAACGACGAAGCGAAGCAATGAAGCGTCTGAATCTGAATGGCAGTGGCGACACTTGCGGATTGTTGTACGGGAGACAGGAAGAACTGGAGCATCTGGAACATGTGTGGAATCAAGTCCTTAGCGATTCTCGGGCCCGCCGTGTCCTTTTGAGAGGCTATGCCGGTATTGGCAAGACCAAGTTGGTCAAGACCTTTTTGGAGAACAAATCTAAATCTGCTGCTGCTGCAGTCCTCATGGGAAAATTCGACGCGAGCAGCAAAGTGCCACTGTCGGCCATCTCGGACGCTTTGAGCCAGTGGTGTCAGGACATGATCGACACCAAGTCGGGACCAGAGCTGGTGGCCTTGAGACGCGAAATCGCCGAGGCAGTGGGATCCTCACCACATCAACAGCAACAGCAGCAATCACGGGCACTGCTACAAGCCATTCCCGCTTTGGCGGCTTTTTTGGCGCCACAGTCACAGCACCACACCGACAACAACACGACAGCTTCCGATGCCAATACCACTACCAATACATCCAAGTCACGGCTTCAGCTAGAGTATCAACTCCAGAACCTTCTCCAAAAGGTCATTGCCACACCGGAACGACCGCTCATTTTATGGTGGGACGACGTGCAATGGGCTGACGACGCCAGCCTGGAGGTCCTCAAAGGGCTGCTCATGGACACACAGGCCAAACATATTCTATTCATTGGATCCTATAGAGATGATCACCACCAAGTAATTGCATCCACCACAAACACCACCAACTGTACTGAAACGGACGGCGATTCCATCCAAGCTGTTGTGTTGTCACCGCTGGAAACCATGCTCCAACAAGTACAGGCGCACGGCGGTGGTGGTTCCACCACACTCATTACGTTGCAATTGGGCAATCTGGATCTACCCACCACACAACAATACATTGCCAATGTCTTGCTGTTGGAACCAACCGAAGTCGAAGATTTGGCACAAGCCATTTTTGCCAAGACGCATGGCAACATTTACTTTACGCGGGCATCGCTATTGCTCCTCGAACAACGACAAATTTTACAGTACTCTTACCATACATATCGATGGGAATACGACTTGGCAAGAATACAAACCGAAATGGGAGTGTCTCGAAATGTCGTCGATGTCACACTGGCCAGTCTGCATCTACTGCCAGGGGACGTACAACAGGCTCTGGCCGTGGCAGCTCTGGGGTTTTTGCGATCGTCCTTTGATTTGGAAACGCTGGGGGTGCTGCTCGAGGCGGTGGAACAAGGGACAAGTGAGGAGACGACAAACAATCAGGAAACATCTGATACTAGTGGTGGTGATGATGATGGCCATGGAGATGGTGACCATGGAGATGGTGACCATGGAGATGATGATCAGGCTCATGAAATTCATGACGATGCTCAATCCACAGGCACCAAAACCAATGGTTCTTTGCTGGAACGGCTGGAGATTGCCGTCACGCATGGGCTGTTGGAGAATCTAGTCGGTTCCAACGTCTATCGGTTTGTTCATGATAGAATACGGGAGGGGGCACTTTGCATATGGGACGACGACACTAATAAGCCACTACAGAACAAACAAACGGCAAGGATTCGAATTGGAAAGCGACTACTCGAGTTGTCGTCATCACCAATAAAGAAATCTACGGGAGAGCAGGATAGCAGCAGAAGCGACTGGATGATCTTTGCAGGACTTGACAATCTGAATTCCATTGAACCAATATCCAAAGTTTTCTCTCAAACGGGCATGTCACGGATTGAGCTGGTCCAATGGAACTTTATGGCGGGGACCAAAGCTGTGCAAGGATCGGCGTTTGCTTCCGCGGCTGCGTACTTGCAAAAGGCTCTCACTTTGGTGTCAACGATTGAGGAACGATGGCAGGATGACGACAACGGTGCTGGGAACGATAAAACCAAAAAAGAAGGGAACGACAAAACCAAAACGAACAAGACATGCAAGGAAGAGACAACCAGCATTTACCAAATCTGTCTGAAACTATACGTCATGGCCGCCAATGTGGATTTCTGCCTTGGCAATTCGGATCGTGCCAGGACCACACTACAGGAAGTTATTGACAGGGCACATTCCGAACGCGACAAACTACCAGCCTATATCGAGATGGCAGAGGGATTGGGGCAAAAAGAGATGCACGTAGAAGCACTGGCAATGGATCACAAGGCGATGTCCGTCCTCAACCCAAGCTTCCCAAAATGGTTCCTTCCTATGCACATGCTCGCGGATATGAAGTACCTCAAGAGCACCTTTCAGAAAAAGTCGGATGAGGACATTCTAAGCCTTCCCATTCTTGACGACAGCGATGATCGTGTTCTAGCCATGAAGGTCCTATCGGGTATGTGGATTCGAGCCTACCTTAGTGGACAAATGGTGACTTCGCTGTTGTGTATGACTCGGGCACTGCGCATGACGCTGGAGAATGGTTTGTCTCCTCCGGGAGGTCTTGCCTTTGCTGCTTATGGATCCTTGCTCTGTGGCCCGCTGTCGGAATATAAGTCGGGCGTTCGACTCGGGTTTCTGTCACAAAAGATTCTGAAACAAACCAATGGAAGGGAGTTTGAATCGAAGATTCTCTTCACGGCAGCAGCTCACACTGATGCCTGGGTTTTGCCGTTGACAACGGTGCAGGAGACTTTGATGCGCGGATTTACTTCTGGATTGGAAAGTGGAGACGTCGAATTTGCTGCATTCAATCTGCAATACTACAATATCCATGCGTACCTGATGGGTCTCCCGTTGGATCCCATCATTGAGGAATCCGAAAAACTTATCCAACTCATCAACCAACACGAAGTCGAATCGGTTCGTGCTATTGTGCTACCGTTCCATCAAATGCTGTTGGATATTTCGGGCAGGACAGAAGATCCAATGGCATGGGTCAATGCGTCGGAAGGCAGAGATCGAGGTCACCGAAAGTCCTCCAAGAACAATAATCCCTCGGAGAACGTCAAAATCATCTGGTCCTACTTTTCTCGTGGACAGTTGGCGTATTTCTTTGACGAACCAGAGCTCGCCGACAAGATCTGGACGAAACTCAAGCCGCTTCTGGCGGGCATGGCGTCGTATTCCGCTCCCTCCATAAACATCTTCATCGGTGGCCTCATTGCTGCTTCCATGTTCCGCAAAACCGGAAAGCGCAAGTATCGTGCCCAGGCTCAAATGGCTGTTAAGGAAATGAAGGGTCTGATGGAGAAATACAACACGGGGCTCAACCTCCTGCATCGTTACTACATTCTGAAAGCGGACTGCGAGGTCACATGCGAAAAGTCCAAGAGTAGCGAGGAGATCCGGAAAGTTTTCGACAACGCCATCTCGGTAGCTTCGAAGGCCGGATTTGTGCAAGACAATGCCTTGGCTCACGAGCTTTGTGGTCAGCATTTCGTGGACCGCGATGACATTTTTTGGGCCAAGCACTACTTGACAGCGGCACATAACATCTACGTGGACTGGGGGGCTTTGGCCAAAGCAGAACATTTGTCGAAGACGCGCAGTGCATTTATGGATCATCACAACCCCAATCAACGAAAGGCGTCGAATCGAATGTCCATTTCCAAGAAGGGTCCTCTGAGCTCTCGATTCTTGTCGTTGGAGGTCTCTTTAGACGACAATCAGGACCATAGCACCGTGACCCAAGATGAGACTTCAGATGGAAGGACCATCAGCTCCTGAGTGGTTACTATTTATCGGGGCAAAGTGGTGTGCTTTCTAGCTAATAGCGTTCCAATCATCCCATGAGTCCCCTCTCGGACAAACACGGAAACAACTTTCTTGTGCAGCGAGCGCTTCGCGAGTTCTATTTGGGATTCCGTGTAGCAATAGATGCTGTTAGTAGGGTTCACTGAGGTTGGCTGCATTAAATACTCTTTGCTAGAATCGAATCGTATGAATATTATGGTATTAATAGTTCTTGATATCAGGTTCTGGTTTTCCAAAGTTTGGCCACCACCATGCACTTCGACACGAAATTTCACCACCAGGCAGTGCCAAATTGAGATTGGCCACACTAAGGAAGGGCTGCGAGGACTAACGCTATGGCATGGCATACAGGCGCAATCCCAAAGTCATTCGGATTTTCACGAAGCAAATATGGCTGGACTGATCTCAAAATCCAAGTCCCAATCCACGATCGGTTCTTGCAGCAAAGGCAATGCACACTCATTCGCCAGTGCTGGCAGCAACTCAGGAGAAACACACACATGCTGGGTGCGTTGCCCGAGGGAAACTTGTTGGACAACTGCTGATGCATCCCTTTTTGGTTGCGACACAGGTGTGCCTTCCTGGCCAGCAAACCTATCCTGAGGAAATCCAGCTATTGTTGTGGGGACAGGGGAAGGTGCTGTCAATGAGAGCATGGCAGTGCCTGGTGTCTCAGTAAGAGGAATTGATTGTAAAGTAGTATTGGGTTGCACTTCATGACTCCAAACCAAGGAGGTTGAGGTGTGGGTGTCAACGGGAGTAACCGAGAAAAACGGAGCAAACTGATTCTCTTCCAGGATGTTCAAGCTAGGTTTATCCAACGTCGGGAGGCCACTGTCTTTGGGAGCAGCCTCCTCATCTGAAGATGATGATGAAGAAGAATCTTCCTCCAGTGATTCCCATGAATCAATGCTTGTGTCTCCCTCCAATTTGGAGAGATTCTTCTGCCGCCTTGGGGTAGTTCGATTGGCAAAACGGAGTGCATGTCCTACCTTGTCGCGTGCTGCCATTGTGGGAAGTTCTTCCCATACCATTGTTGAAGCATCGTACTTGAGAAAGCGGCAATTTTCCTTCTGCAGTCTTTCCACAACCTCTTTGGTGATCATCATCTTTTCATACTACATTATGACGAACACAAAAGCAGTGATGGGAAGAGAGAGAGATGAGAAAATCGTATGACCCAAACATCTGCTTTGTGTTGTCACTGTGAAACACATACCTTGGTTTTGGTCAAAGAGTATCTCTGACGGTAGGACTCAATCACTGCACGAAAGCGCCTGGATCCAATATGTGCAACACATTTCTTGCCCTTTCTGAGAGAGGAGCAAAGCAGCGAGCACATGCCAGTGAGGATCAGACTATACACAGCAGCACAGCTCCTGAACAAGTGACTACCACAACACTCACCCGCACAAGATATCAAACTTTCGTGGCTGCAACACTGCAGCTGGTTGTTCCTGGGTGGTTGTCGACGGCTCCATTTTTTGATTGCTGTGGTTTCGAGATTGGTTCAGTGCTACGCCGAGTTGGAAATAATGCGTGGACTGATGTGAGCAATAAAATTAAATTATCAGAAGGGGAGCTAGTACAGTAGAACGGGTACGCCGGAAAAAGATGTGTTTTTCCGCTGCTGTTTGGAGCGATCCACGGTGTTTCTTGATGAAGTGTTCGACAGAACAATCGGATAAGAGTAAAGGCTTCCCCGGAAAGAACACCTGTTGTACCGTACCGTGGGAATACTAGTGGTACAGTAGTGAAAAGTTCGAATGACGGATACTTGGTATCATAACAGGCTGCTTATTGGAGTACTCTCCGTGCTACAATTCGGATTTGTAGCAGATCGCGATGGTACAATGCCAGTGGACTGGACAACAGAAACAGAGTTGCAGAAAAGATAAGAGTACGTAACGTTAACGTAAAGCTTCACCGGCGGAGAAACACACTGTAGATCACTCGACAGTAGTGAAAAATTCAAGTGACATCAGTTTTGGATAACACTGCGACACACTTCTTACATGTAATACTCTGGACCTCTGTGGAAACTCGAGTCGTGCAACCGATCGTCTCCTAAATCCTTTTGATCGTCTCCTATTTAATGGATTTCGTGACGAAATCCATTAAAGAAATTTTCGTCTCCTAAAAATAGGAGACGAAACGGATCGTCTCTTAAATCTTTCGTCTCCTCTTAAATCGTCTCCTATTTTCAACGGATCGTCTCCTATTCTCAACGGATCGTCTCCTAAGTGCACCATGTAAACTGTATGGTATCGTCTCCTAAATCTTTCGGATCGTCTCCTATTTCGAAACGATCGTCTCCTAAATAGAACGTCTCCTAATGAATCGTCTCCTAAATATAGGAGACGAAAGCTATCGTCTCGTAAATCATTTCGATCGTCTCCTAAGCCTTGGTGTATCGTCTCTTAAGTAATTTGCCACGAATGACGTTTCCACAGAGGTCCTGTAGCAATCGCAAAGGCTCATTTTGCTAGCTAGCTAGCTAGCTAGTACAGTAACCACTGAAACCCAATTCACTTGGGGCATTTTTTTTTGGTATTTTTGTCAGAACCACTACATGTACCGGTACCGGTACCGGTACTAAGATGCTTCTTGATTGATCTTTTGCGGGCACAAGACAAGCAGGAAATTGGAAATTGGGAGCCTTCGTGAATTTTCTCGCCAATCAACTAACTTTTCTGTTCCCCTAATCAACATTATTTTAAATTTTTAAATCAGGCATACGGTGCTACAGTAAGCTTTGGAACGTGCAAAGTCAGATTAACCTGTGGAGTCTGTGAGGTCACTTCCTGTAGCTCTTCAGTTTCGAACCCGGACGCGTCAGTTTTGGTGATCCTTCGAATGTTTTGTGGCAGAGTGCGAAAGCCTGTGGAAGTCCCTTCTCGATTTGATCTATAAGATCAAGTTTATCGAGGTTCAAATTGAGGAAGAAAATGTTGTCATTGTGCACGGAGAGACTTTCGAAGTTTCTGAGAGTCTGTGGAGCAAGATCCAGAGACAATGTATTGTCATTTCCATGGAGACAAGTGGCTGTTGTACAACACGTCGTCGCAACAAGTTTCGCGTCGGCCCGGTTCTTTAGTAGATTGGAGCGACTAGTCAGTACGAGCAATTGATCTGGATATTGAGATTGTAGCCGTACAGACGTCCACATCGAGGAGAGATGTGAAGTTAGCACATGATACCGTACAGTACGTAGTAAGAAGGGTCAGAGAAAACCCGTTTTCCAGACCGTGGGGGTGTCCTCATTGTGCTTGCATTCCTCCGAATAGTCGACGTACGGGGCTGTCTTCCCTTTCGTTCTTCGTGGCAGTTTGGGATGGTATCAATGAACGGCAGTACTGTAGCAGGTAGCAGGTGCATGCTCTTGCTACCGCGAGCACTTGGATGCCCAGGCTGCGCAGGCCATTATTTCAGAATGCAGCCAGATGTAGGTTTGTGCACATTGCCCTCTGTTCTCTGTTCTCTGCCCGTATACACCCTTGGCAAATGCACCATCGATTTTGAGTGGGACCATGCGAGCCAAGCCGAAGGAATTCGAGGCAACGTCCTCAAGGATTGAATGATTCGATTCCATGCTAAAACACAGGCGACACACACCTTACCAAGCAAAAGAAACCTGTCTCAGTATTGTGGTCCTAGAGAAGTTGTGAGCACCAGTAGCTGCACCGGGCAGTGCAGGGGAACTAAGAGTATTTGTAGGTCTTGTGTGTTTTCAGAAAAGGGCTCATCCGTGGAGCTTCCATGGTTTCCTTCGGCCGTCGTCTTGGTGTTTCGGTTTCTCCGCCTGTCTTCTCGGTTTCTCCGCCTACGTTCAACCTACCGGTATCGTGGACGCAATGCTCACAAGAATGTCACCAACGCAGCATTTCCTTCTGCCTCCCCCATCTGAGCTGGTACTGTACCCTTCACAACGGTGGAGGAGGGTTCAAGCCAGGCAGGTAGATCTAGCCAGCCATATTCTTCATCATTCAACAAACAAGCTGGAGCTTTAAAAGAGGCCAATCAAAATTGTTTGAACCAATCAAGTGAAAGAAGACAACTGCTCAAGATAGTTCGCTGGACTACTGTATCTTTTCAATTGCCTGCCTTCTCACCTTCTCAATTCACCTCCTTCTGACGTTGTTAGAAAAAGAGAAGGACCTAAATGTGTCTGCTGTCGCATAGTAATCCAATTTTCTGATTTTTAAAAAGCTTTCTGTCGCAGTGTTATCCAATTCTCCGTCAAAATGAGTTAGTTGCTCCCCAGCACAAGAGCAAAAGAGCCCACAAAATCAAACCACCCTCTCACAACTCAGGAGCGAGTGATCATCAAACCAAAAACGAAGAGGATGGAAGAAGTCAATATTCGATACCAGGAGATGCCGGTGCCGGTAGCAGCACCGGTGCTGCAGCCGGGAAAGTTTGACATCCTGTGTGGTAAGGGCAAGAAATGTGTTGGACATATTGGATCCAGGCGCTTTCGTGCAGTGATTGAGTCCTACCGTCAGAGATACTCTTTGACTAAGACCAAGGTAAGCTTTATCACCAACCCAAGGCTGATTTGCCATCACAGCTGCCTCAGCTCTCATTGCCTCCTGCTTTCTTTGACAGTATGAAAAGATGATGATCACCAAAGAGGTAGTGGAGAGACTGCAGAAGGAGAATTGCCGCTTTCTCAAGTACGATGCTTCAACAATGGTATGGGAAGAACTCCTGACAATGGCAGCACGTGATAAGGTGGGACATGCGCTCCGTTTTGCCAATCGAACTACCCCAAGGCGGAAGAAGAATCCATCCAAAACGGAAGGAGACACAAACATTGATTCATGGAAATCGCTGGAGGGAAAATCCAGTGTGCCATCTCCTCCCACGTCGCCTCCCCCCCCTCCCGAAGTGTTTGGCGATGACAATGGCGGTCCATCTTCCCAACCATTTAAAAATTCAAATGCAACGGAAGAGGCTCCTTGCTCTGTTACTCTCATTGACAACATTGAATTGGCGTCTTTTGTCTTCAGTCATACCGATGATTCTGAAGAACCCACAACTTTTTTGCCCTCTAATCCCCCCACACATACGCAAGACGCTTCGATTTCAACCATGGTCTCCATTGGGGAAGAACCTGAAGACAAGGTGTTTATGCTGGGCCAGCAACGCTGGTCTCCCCTGCAGACAGGCAGGGAAATGCCAGGAGCCCACCCGTGTACGCAAGGATTGCTCCTTGCACAGCCCTCCCAGGTTTCACCAGTGTGCATCATATCTCCACAGCTCTCTGATTCGACTGGAATAGCAGCGAATCTCTTTGATCCTAGTTTACCAGTTGCACCCGTTGCATTACGCTTCTCGATCACATCTGACATCCATGGCAATTCCACCCTCCTCCAGCCATTGCCAAGAGCTCACAATCCCAAGTTGCCTCAACAAAAACTACCACCAGTCCAGCCAACAACCGCGTCCCTCTCCAAACTAATTCATTTTTCTACCATGAGCGCAAGTTGCCCGATTCCAGAAAAGATCAATGCCGTTCGCCGCCAGCCAGAAGGCTCGACGTCCAAGTGCCACAGCGGCTCCAGAAAGACGACGAAGCAGCGTGTCAGAAGGGCTGAAGCAATTGGCCCCTCATGAAATTCTGACCGTGCTTGAGCACTACGCCACCATTGATGGAGACCAGTGTGTTGAGTGCTTGGGTGCCCTCAAGGATTGCTCCATGCAAGATTCCAGTAAGCTCCATCACAGTGGCCGCCATGGACGACATCACAGCAAGCGAGGAAGCCAAAAGCCCAAGCACGGTGAAGTCTCCACATCTCTGGTTTGAACAGCCTTCCAAATTGCTCTAGCTAGTAGCAGGATACCGCTGCCAACGAAAGGTCGACAAGCAGCCAGGGTCCAGAAACATAGAGAAACTAATATATAGCATGCATCATCTTACTACGCGTACATGAATCTAGAGAGCTGCGTGCACGCATTGTAGAGTTACTCGAGAAGCCACGGGCCCTTCACCCACTCGTTTACCAGGCGGCCGCTCTTGCCACCTCCCCCTAATGTGAAACCCAATAGCATGCATTCGTTGTATACATAGTCATTTACATTGTCCTCTAGCTAGCTTCACTTTTGCTCATCAAGGCTCAAGACAACTTGAATGAATGTGCCGCACTGACGTTTGTACTGGTTGGACCTACTGTACCACAATTCTTGACATCTCAACTTCACCGAGGACAACGATCTAGATGTAGGCACAAGGAAATGCGCGGGAGCTTTCTATAAAGAAGCATAAAAGGCAGGAGTGACCCCGGCTTCCAAATCCCACTCCATGACAGGTTCCCAAAGAAGAGGCAGTACATCTACCAGTGACTCTGGAGGTGCATCCACTTGTGGGGTGGGTTGTGGGGGGGTCTTTTTGGCTGCCAGATCCCTGTTTCTTGATTGCAAAGGCATGCATGCTCTGATGGTCAGCGAAAACGATGTCTTTCAAGTTGTGGTCTTTCGCCTGCGCTCGGGCGTGAGGAATAGGGGGCATAGTGAGCATTGCAGCATCTTGCGTTTGCAGAGGCAGAATGGAGGGGATTTTAGCTATGGTTGCCATTTGAACCGTACCGGCGGTAGAGGTGGAGGAGTACATGGTTT